AGTTTTTTGCCGTGTGACGTCACTGCTCGAGCGAATCCTTCCTCGGTCGTCTTTCGTAAACGTCTCGGGAGTAACGTCGACGCGCGCGATAATTGCTACGAATTCCCACATAATGCATCCGACGCGCTCCTATGCACGTCCGCCTTGTTATCTCGCGCAGGAACAATCTGTTCCTGTGAAAACCCTATTTCCCAGTCTGGTCGTCGAGTGGCATCGTTGAGTATTCGCCATTCGGCTGAATCGCTGAAGGAAATTGTAACGAGTACCATGCCGCCTCTACCTTCCACCCTCCCTCCCCCCTGGTCAACCAATGAGCATACAAACTTATCCCATGAATTAATAAAGACAATTGGGATCGATAATTAAAACAAAAATTTACAATTACATACGATGCATTGAATTTCGAATTATTTTTTAAAAATTCTTACATGATACTTCAATATTTAACCCACCCCCCACCCCCACCCATCAAATAAGTCCTTATCAAAGATTTCGATAAAATATACATTATTCGACGTGTCCGCTATGCTCTTTACACAGTCACAGAAAGTTTATCGCAAGTACTGTATATATATATATATATATATAGATGTGTGTATGCAAGTTTTCAAGTAACTTCAGAATTTATGCAAACTGACAGCTACGGTTTCTCTCGGAACTGACAGTCTGATTTGCGTAAGACGAGTGGGCTGCTGCGTCACTTCGAAATAGTAAAATGACCATAGCGGGTTGATGAGATAATGCAGATGGTCCAATGTAAAATTAGCTGAGGTAAAACAGGGCGAGTTTCCAATAGGATTAGTAAGCATGAGCATCGAAAGCCAACGATTAAAATTGACGATAAAATTGACGTGTGACGCGATAAAACCACAAAATCTCCAGCATCACCGTTAAAGTCTCGAGTGACTGCCGTGGAAACGAGTGTGACGAAACGACGATACATTGGAAATGCACCGTAATGGACAACGTTCGCTGATACGTGTGTGTATATATACACACGAGACAAAAGAGCCAATGACATCTTCCGGTACTAAATACCGTGTTGTCACTTTCCATTTTTTTATTTATCTTTTTCATTGTAAAACATTGCCCGTCTCGCGATGCGTAACGAAGCACGTTTGAATTTCACGAAACAAACACGAATAATTATCCGCGTCACGCTCGCGATACTGATTGTTCCGAAATAAGTATTTTCGCTAATTAAATCCCCGAGGCGATGCAACTGAAGTCGTTTGCCAGTGCCAGGGTAAATAGATAATATCGAAGTTAATAAAAGTCTTCTAAAGGCTAATAAAAGTAGAATAGTGACACTTGGGATTTGAATGACAGGTCATCTGAAATAACGTTACGAAGTTTAAAGGTCAATTCACATAGGACTCGTCAAACTTCATATTCGTTTCGGGTGTGAGAATTGGTTAAAATAAAATATCATCAAGTCATATTGCCGAGTAGTAACGTAACTGTCGCGTACGAGTCAACTTTTACTCCCCCTTTTTCTTCAAACTTCGTTAATCAACTTTTGCACGCTTACCAACCAACGTATTTCGAACTTTCGCCCGGGTTCGTTACGTTAACAGACGGATACCGTCGACTTTCCCGACAAACCGGTTAACGCTGTTTGCCTTGGTAAAATTATTAAATTCTTTTTTCTAACGAGATTGCGTGCTGCTTTTCGGCACAGTTTTCAAAATACTATTACGCGATGCGCCGTAAGCAATAAATCTTTGAAAGTCCTCGTGGACAAATAAAAACTTCATTGGCTTTTGCTAAGTAAATAAAAAAAAGCATAGGTGACGTCATTCGCACCTATACATACTACAAGCTGATGCATACCTATGGAAAACCAGTCGCAACTGTAAATTAGCGACTTGGAATGTCAAGAGGAAAAAAAAAATATCTAATACTTCGACTTTCACTTCAACGTCCAAACGTATCAGTTACGTAACGTGACCAATGAGTCGTGCACAAGTGTCAATTGAGATGAGATGAGAACGCATGTATGCCACACACTCGGGACCACGTGCGTAAGTTGTTCTTGGAAGCGAAGGTTAAAACAGTATTTAAAAAAGAATGCTGACAGACCGCACTGTAAACTTGTTCAATTTGTCAATTTGAATTTTCCCGCCAGAACGTCAGAAGCCCGTCGACTATGAGTGACAAAATTCGAAAGTACACTACGCAAGAACACGAGTATAGCAGCCGATGGAAATAATTCGGTACTGACCTTTCCCATGGCGTCCGAACGTAATTGGTTTCCACGCAGGCCAACCCGTTCCCTTTCGGCTGGTCCGGCTTACTCGATATTCTCAATGGCGCAGACAGTTCTTCCTTTCTCTTTTTTCCCCCACACCTTACACGAGGACAGACAAGAGAACGTGTTTATATTTTCACTTAGCACTCACGTACAGAAACAGCGTACACGCACCGAGTCGTCCAACGAACACAATAAATTTCCAATAGCTCGAAGCACCCAGCGCTCGACATACGGAAAAATACAAAGTGCCGTCAAGTGAAAAAATGCCTCCGGCAATAAAAAATAACCAACCGCAAGATCCGCTGCGACAACAAAGAAAACGTGCGCGGAGACTTTAACCGCAAGAAGTCTCAACACAGACTGCCGTTTGACAGCCGGCCTCGACGACCGCGCGCATTTCATCCCCACCACGCGGCCTAACCCGTCAGCCGAAAAGGTCTTCGTGATTAGTCGGAAGTACTCGGCTCTTCCGCCTGGCCGATCGGTCAGGAAGGTTCGCACGATATCGTGTGAATACAAGCCGGTATGTATGCCAGAAACATCTACGGCGAATTAAGCGATTGCGCTTTACGATTCAACATCTGGACTGTGGACATCTTTCCCATAAGCATAAAGTAAGACATTAGACACGAGGAAACAAAATTCAATAAAAAATTTCACGTGGAATTTTTTTTTTTAATAAAATTTCGTCATTTTCAATATCGACAACAATAATGACAGGATCGACAAGGGACTTAATATTTGATCGTCATGTGTCAAGGTAATCACGACCTTCTTTGCTTGTTAATCAATCTAATCATTCCGGCACGTTAGACGCTCGCCTAAAAGGACGACTGTTGCTGATTACTTCGAGTACCGTAACGGGTGTTTACTACGTGAAACAATGCATAGTCGATGTACTATCTGGTAATTAACATTAAGGCCGTTTACAATGGAATATTTCGATTTGTTTTATTGTTAAAGCTGCGACTATAAACATTCTATATGGACATACGATAATGTGCGTGTGTCACTTCCCCGGAATATACATACATACATATGTATTTCAAGATAGGGAAATCCAAATGCAGTCAGACGAAAACATGGACTGAACAATATATATACATATATATACATATATATATATATATATATATATATATATATACACGCATGACAATCTGTTTGTAATATTCAATATGGATAAAGTTCCTTTGTTACGATACAAAGAACACGTCATACGATTACATAAGGCGATCTCTCGAGGATAAGCCGAGCGTCGTAAGAATAAAATAATATATATTTTGAAAAACTTTTTTTTTAATATACCCAACAACCCCATTACGTCACGTCACAAAGCCCACGTAGGAATACCCGTAGGGTACCCAATATATGAAAAGAATAAAGAGCGACAAGTGTAATACATTACACCGCGTGTATTTGCAAAATCATCTGAAAAATTCGATTTCAAAATTCGCCAAATTTGCCAAAATTCGCCAAATCGCAGTAGCAATCTAGTACAAGAAATGAATTAGCGAATCAAAAGTGACAGAAGCCTAAAAAAATTTTTGTTTTCAAAATTTAACGTCAAAATATCAATCGAAGTTTCTCGGTATTTCGTAATTATTTCATGTGTCATTAGCACGTGAGTTATTATCGTGGAAAGTAAATTCTGACAGTCAATATTTATTTTTGCTACCAGTGACGTCATCAATGATCACGTTTTAAAATACCAAGAAGGACCAATCGAGGTCTGAAGCTTTCGCTTAATCCGCTGGTATCGGTTGTCGCTTGCGTTCTACTTGGGTTTCTAGCGAGCGACTCGTCGCTGGTTGAAAACAGAAGTAAAAAGGACAAAGGAGGACGCGGAGGTGTAAGGGAAAACGAAAAAAAAAAAAAAAAAAAAAAA